GGAGGAGGAGCTGACTGCAGCTGACAGACAGGAGGAAGAGGAGGAGGAGGATGAAGAGCTGGACGAAGCAGATCTAGAGGCCTTCCTGGACGGACAGCTGGTCGACAGACTGCCCTTCCTGCAGCAAGAAGGGTCCCGTCAGGGAATCGCTGTTGAAAACCAAGAGCACGACGAGTTCTGCGTTTCCTCGTCCAAAGCCGAAGACGCTCTCAGAACCCGTAAGTTCCACATTAAAGGGTCAGTTCGCCCAGTCAGTATGTAGACGTGCAGATATGTGGAAATCCCGTAACAACACGTTTCTTCCCTGTTCTAGTGGCGGTGCTGAAGCAGGCTCTCTTCAACCACATGCTGAGCAGGGAGGCCGAGGAGGAGAAAGAGGAGACGGAGGAGTTAAAGCTCACTGGGGCCCCTGGGTGTCAGCAGAGTGACTCCCCGCCTGGGAGTCATCAGGGGCCGTCTGCCGCGGGTGATGAGAGCCAGGCACCTCCAGGTTTACTGACGGACGACTCACAGCTCCCGTCTGAACACGCAGGCCTGTCTGAGACGACTGAACGCAACGGTGACGGAGTTTTTCTCTCCTGATCTTTGCCCGTTATACATTTATTCATCCATTTTATTTAATCACTCCTCCTGCGTCTCCTTCCAGGTGGTTCGGTGGTTCTGGACTTCAGCGCGTGCTCCGAGGAGAGCAGCACTGACGACGACGTGGGATTAGAAGGCGACCTGGGGATCGACATGAGGAAACTGCTGTCGTCCTCCTCCTCGCAGACAGGGGGCGGTGGACCGAACCTCAGCAGGCAGCTCATGACCCACCTGCGCCTCCTACAGGCCGACCTGATGCACCTGAAGGTACCGCACGGTTTCTTTTCTTCGGTGGATTCAACAAACAAACAGAAAAATCAAATTAGAAACTTGTGAGAAAAGTTATGAAAAGATAAATCCTCGAAGGGAATTCGTTATTTCAAAGTGTTTGTGTTGTGATGACGTGTTTCCAGGAGGTGGAGCTGAAATACAACGAGCTGCGGCAAACACACAGTGACATCACTACTGACTCGGACGACAACAACGGTGAGTTTCCTCTTCTCTCTGGAACCGTTGACTGATTTTCATCCACATTAAATATTTGTCACTTCAACGTCTCTGATCTTTTTCAGACGGGACTCAGGGATGACGGACTCGTCTCCCCCCTCGTTGTCGTAGGAGCCGAGTTCACGTTCCTCCATGATCGCTTTCCTGTGGATCTCCAACCTGAGTCGCTCCGTAACGGAGGATTCACGTCTCTGCTCCCACTTCAGGCACATATGACGATCAGTGGATTTCTGTCATCATCACTGATCCACTATAAACTCCTTAAACCAGCGGGAGCAGGTTTTGCTCTGAGACTTTGGATTTAGCCGAGGACGGTTCACTCACTTTCTGCTAATATAATACTCAACTTCGTAAACGATCTTTAAACACTGGATGCACGAAAAGGAAAAGTCGAGGGTGTGAAGTCGCACGGATATCGACATCAGAGGAGAATTTAAAAACGAGAAGAGAGACGTGAAGACTCTGACAGAACGATTCTCTGAGGACGGAAGTAAACGTGTTGAGGCCTCGGAGCACTGCTGTATGTAAATGTCTGTAATAAGAGATGAGCTGAACCTCACGCTACATGTATGTTTAAAACACACACTGCCTATTTTATACACACTTCAATATCGTCAGTTCATGGAACACGTTCATCCCCAAACTTCTCCACGAGTGTTTCACATGTTCTGTTTTTAGCTTTGCTGTGTATCAGAATTGGAATTGAGGAGCTGGAGTTGGACTTTTTGCTGCTGCTTGTTGCGGAAATGTAATTTTATTTAGAAGAACTTTCCACTAATGGATGTTTATTCAGACACGTTACCGTCAGTTATCAGCGAGGGGTTTAATGTTGCCTTCAAAAAAAGAGGAAATGTTAATGTTTGTTCATTTGAATGTGTCTCCCACTGTGGCCGCTCTTCATGATGCATTCAAATCTCCTCGTCACAGTTTTACAAAGGAGGATAATGACCAAAATTCCGAACTATTCCTGCACCTGAGTGGAATAATTGTCCCACTAGATGTTATACTAACTGTGTTTACCGGTCGTCTTATTAGTTTGGTTGCTTGAGCAAATGACGTACTAATACAACGTGGATTAGCCTCAGACTTTAAAGTGCCTGATTTGAATCTTCCCATAGCACTTGAATGTAGCATTATATGGAAAAAAAAACTAATAACGATGGTCTGACGTTAAAATCAAACATCACGAAATCAATAAACGACACAGAGAGACGATAAAAAAAAAACCTGACAGAGAAACAGAAACTGCTTCACACGTTTGTGTTTCAAAGATTCTCTGCAGGAAACGAGGTGCAGTCGTCAAACGCTTCACTTTCATGGTGCGACTGAAAAGTCCAACATTCACTGGCCACTACACTGCATGGAGTTTCTGACAAAATTTAAAAAAGTTTTTAAAAAAAGACGATACTAACCTAAAGAGTATATGTAAACAAAAAGGATTGTAATGAACAGTTTTTAATGTAAAATATAATGTACATTTATGATATCAAATGTTTTGTGTCATTTCTTAAGACAATGCACTCACGAAAAAACACAAACTACTTAAAACAACAAAGTTCTCACGCAGCGTTTATTTGTCGTATTCATGGTCTGCTGTCTTTTGGAGAAAACAACATGTGACGATGGAATTTACAGTTGTAGAAAAAAGTCACACGTGTGCATCAGTTAATTTAAAGTCTGAGAAAAAATGCTTTAGTTGAAAACAGCCAATATGATGCAAAACACAAAACAAAATAATCCTGTAGGTTTATCTCTGCTTCAAGATCTTATATGAAACATAAAAATATTCATTGTGGGTTAAAATAAACTACAGCACCAAAGTTACATGAAGAGAAATGTAGATTCGGCCTCTGGAGAAGTGTTTCCCAACATAAACAATAATTAGCCTAAAAATCTGATTGAAAAACAAACGTGAATAGAAAATGGTGAACTAGGTTTTTTAATTTAACGATTAATTATGATGATTATTCATTTCTTCAGTGTTGTGTTACATTTTAAAAGTTAAGGACGCTCTGCTAGAGGGAACAAGAGTCACATCTCATCCGGGTTGAACTTTATGGAAGTCATAAATAAATCACTTTTAAATTATTAACTTTCCTCTGTTCAAACATCTGCAGTGATGTGGTGGAGACCAGGATCAGCCTGTTCAAGACACTGAGTCCCTGACTCCAAAAGTTGTTCTAGTTTATAAAGTCCAGTCCAGTTCGTGATAACTGATCATTAAGTTAATATTTAGTTTATATTTAGTTTATATTTAGTTTATATTAAGTTTATAGCACCAGTTTCAGATACAGCTCACACATTTTGAAGAGTCCTTCAGTCCGAGTGTCCGTCCAATTTGTGGATTTCTTTGAGCTTGTGATTCTCGTTCCACCGTTTGTACTTGACTCTGCTCTTCTTGTAGCCAAATCTGGCAATGTCCACCATGAACACCCAGGCCAGTGCGTACATGGCCACGCCGCCCAGCTTCATCACCAGTGAGGTCCTGGGGGACGTGAGCTCGCAGTAGAACATCACCGTGCCGACCCCCACGCGCACGGTGGCGAACAGTAAAATGAAGAGCAGGTCCACGGCGTCTCCCAGCAGGCTGTCGTACAGGCCCAGCCGCCGGAGGAACCAGCGGGTCTGCAGCAGGGGATTGGTGATCTCGCTGCCGAAGACCACGCCGCAGGTTTCGCAGGCCGACACCCCCATGAGCAGAGCCAGCAGGATGCCCAGGATGCTGGCGGCGTGGTGGGCCAGCATGAGGGGGCCCTCTGTGCCGTAGCACACGCACCAGCCGATGTCGAAGAAGAAGTAGCCGAGGCAAACGGACAGGGCGAGGATCTGGAGCTCGGTGTTCTCCGTCCCTGGAGCAGAAAGGAAGAAATCAGAGAGTAAATGTTCGAGGGCCCCACATCAAACCTCCGCCACCGTCTCCTGCACATCACACACACACGTTCTCCAGTCTTCAACCAGACCTCGACAATAACGAAGCTCCATAATTTCAACTGTCGTCTTTGTGCAGTACTGAAGGATCTTGAAGAAAAATCAGACACGAGGAACTGACGACGTTTGAAAAGATTCACATGAGTAGAATTAAAGAATTCTGATGCAGGATTCTTTGAGTCCATTCACTCAGGAATCAGCCCATCGATTAAATGTCACTGTGACTCCTGAAGTTTACTTTAAATAAAATCTCCCTGAACTTTAAAATGTTTGAATAAGAGTCAGAGCAGCCAGGGGCCTCACAGCAGCCAGGGGCCTCA